CTGGTTTATATAAATAACTTGACTATTTTAAGCTACTAATTCAGTACTAGATGTGAATAATGTCATTCAATACTGATCTCACTGTGCAAATAATGGTCGTAAGGCAGTTATAGAATAATAGCATAAGGAAACCTGCCAAAATCATACGAATTACAGATTTTCCAAAGAGCACAACATATAATCATATAAATCAACTCAAAAAAAGAGGCACCCTTGTTCTACTTCCTATTCCTGGAAGACCCAAAATTCTTATGCCAAAAGAGTATCATCATTTTGGGCAACTCATATGAGCTAATAATATGGTTACTGCTACTGAAGCGGCTGCCAGACTTAATGAAACCCATCCCAACTTAAATATATTAGTTTGTACTATCCAAAAGTTCTTAAAAAGGATCTCCAATATATTGTTTGCTGACTGTTACGCATTCCCCTTCTCCAACTCTTCCACATTGTTACCCATTCGACTGGGCCCATGAACATATGCAGGACAGTGGTCTAGCATAATTTTTTTTTGACGAAACAATACTACAAATGTTCAGAAACATATAACAAGTAAACACCCATTCAAAATTCATGCATGGGAAGTGTTTTCTGCATGGGACCAATCGCATTAGTTTTATTTACAGAAAACCTTAATTCACAAAGATATTGTGAAATTCTTGAAACTTACTTTTTCCCTAATGCTTTGTGAGCAGGTCATGGCTAACATTTCCAGCAGAACAACTCTTCCGTCCATATAGCTCAGGTTACATATCAGCTTTTTGAAGATCACCATATTCAAATGCTCGACTGACCTTCGAATTCACTTAATCTGAATCCATAGAGAACCTATGGGCTGTACTAAAAAATAAAGTAGAAAAAACCATAAGCAATAGGCTTATAAAAAAAAAAACTTAGCACTATTGATTTTCAGTTAATTATTCAAAAAAAATAGGACGGTTTAGATTAAAATCTCTACCTTAATTTAGCAGGTAGTATAAAAAACCATCTTGAACAAGTGATTAAAGGGGAGGAAAAAAATCTAACTATTGATATTTATGTATTTTTTTTTATGACGATTGTCATTATTTTTATAAATTTTAATACAAATAAAGTCTATTTTACGAGTTTTTTATTAGTTACAAGAAAAGTTCAGATCTTTTCTGTGATCATTGTACCTACTCAATATTAGGAAAAGTAGAATTTGATACTAGAGATGTTAAATTTTGAATATATTTAGAATAGTTATATTTATAGTGAATAAAGATGTTAGTAATTGTGATAAATAGATCAATAGTAATATCTTCAGGAGAAGTATTAATAGATAAGGTTTTAGTTTATATAATATAATTGTTTATTGGCTTGAAAGGAATAGTTAAGTTTAAGATTTTATTAAGATTCCATTTGATTCTGGTAAAAAATAAGGTATTGGCTGTAAAGTAGCAAGGTTTTCAAATTAAGTTATATAGTTGTATTATAGATTCTGTCACTGTTTTAATCCAATTAGAGAAATCTAATACTGAGAAGATTTTGTTTGTGAATCTATATAACAGTTCTATAACTTGGCATATATATAAGATTGGTTTTTAATTATTGTCTGGTTAAAGAATTTGGTTGATGGATATGATAATTTGATCAATCTCTTTGGAGGTCTTAGAACATTTAAAGATTTGTTAAATATTCTTTGTACAAAATTTGTATTTTAGATATAGTATATCTGGATATTAATTGAGATATAATTGATGGAGTATTTGATAAGTAGTAAGGTTTTTGATAGTATTTTAATTCTGAATATAATTAAGTTATTATAATTATTATTGTATAGTTTTTTGATATTTTTGTTGAATTTATTGATGACTTTTAAATTATATAGAATATACATGTGTTCAAAAGTTTGAGATACAAAAGAATTTTCATATAATATATAATTCCTAGTAATACTGAAAATTTTTTGTACTATCTGATACTATTGCCAAGACAAATATTGTTGATTAATAGATTTTTTGAAAAGTGTTGAGGAGAGTTGTTCCATTGGAAGATTCTAATTAATAATAGTTTGGATTTGAATTGAAATAAATAATTTGTATAGACTTTCATTATACTTATTGATTTATTCTTTGAATTAATATGAAAAAGTTGATTTTTACCATTCTTCTGGGATATTTTAGAGATGGTTGCAAAATTTTTTTGTTACTTTTTATTTTAATAGTATTGTAGCCTGGACTTCACTAAACAATATTGAATATTGCAAGTAGGATGTTACTTGATAATAGATATGAATTAAGAGATTTTACTTTAATATTATTTATGATTAAATTATTTTAATAAGACTGAATATGAATATGTTGTTATAAACCAATTTCTTGTAATAAGGTTTAAGGAGAGGGATTAATAGGAATATTGGTTTTCTTTATATTTTATTTCTTAATTTATTGTCAAATGCCAAGCATTATTGTTAAGTAATATTAAATGATATAAATTTGGCTTAAATTTAATTATAAAAATTTAATAATTTAATAATAATTTGATATATTAAATAATCAAATTTCAATTAATATAAGCTATATAACATTATGATTAATTTAGACTTTGAAATTACATTATGATATAATTCTCTATTATAGATTATCAGTTATCATTTGCTAAAATTGAATATGTAATACTTTAAAGTATGTTGTTGTAAAAGTTTTAAATAAATTATTAGTGATTTAAAAAGACAGTAAACTTTAATGATTATAATTTTAATTCCAACAGAGTTGGGACTTTATAAGGTCAAAAAGACATCCTTTTATACTATATATATTGGTTTTATACAAATGTAAAAATACATAAATAAATAAATATAAAAATACATATATCTATATTGGGCTTAACTTCTGGAAACATATGTACTTAATTAATATAATGAAATGAAAGAGTAAATAGAAAGAAATAAAAAGAAAAGATATGTACACTCTATGGCCTTATGTTTCTAATTTGGTTATATTAACCCATAGTAATTTAATTAGTGGCGCTTGGCGGCATGTTACATCGTTAGGGGTCAGAATTGCATCATATATGTGTCTGACTATCGTTTGGAACGTGTCTCAGACTTGCAAGTCATTAGAAGCAGATCAGATATCTTCTGGATGTTTGGTTCACAGGGTGCAATAAGGGTCCTATGGCGTAGTTATAGTTAGTATTGTTACAATTATATAATTATACTTTATATTATTTCTTTACCAATTATATATATGATTTTTAATTATTTTAAAATTAATAATATAATGAATTTTAAAAATTTTTTTAATAATTTATTTAAAAATATTAATTAATTTTAATTACAATAGTTTTAATTTGATTTTAAAAAAATTATTAATTATAAAAATAATTTTTTTTTTATAATTTATTTATTAAATATATTTATAATATTTTTTTAATCAAGATTTTTATTAAAAATAAATGAAAAAACCTTTTAAAATCTAAATTTTTTTAAATTATAATATGGAAACAACAATTTACAAATTAATTTAATTTTAATATTTTTAATAAAACTTTAACTTTTTTAAAAAAATAAGTTTTATTTAAGAGTTATTTTATTAGGATAATTATTAAAAATAAACTATTGAATTTTGATAAAATTTATAATTTAAAAAACTTGTTTTTGTTACTAAATTAAACAAAAATTCTTGATTTATTTGTTTTAAAATTAAATTTTAAAATCAATATTTTAATTTCTGTTTAATTTTATTATTTTAAAATGTCAAATATTTATTTAGTTTTTATATTATAATTTAAGGCATAAAACATAAAATTGACTTGGTTTAAAGTATTTTTTTTTGTTTTTAAATTTTTTATTTTTACTAAACACAATCTTTTAAAAACTATTTACTTGAAATTATTAATTAAAACTTTTTATATTTCCTGTTATAGAAACTTGATATTATTTGAAGACTCATTGTATATATACGTATTTCGATACAAAAAACTATTGTTACTATTTTTACTATTTTAGGATCTCTAGAATTTTTACTATTCTGATTACTCATAAATTATTAAAATAACAGAAATAAGAGATTCCTGGAATTTAGAGATTCCCAGGATCCTGAGATCATTGTGTCATATGATCGGAGTCAATCCCGACCATCACAATATCTTATGTTTTATAATACTGTACTGTGATTTTGACGCATATACTGTACTTTGTCTTTAAAAAATTTTATTCTTTTACACAAAGCAAAAATTCAGGAAACACCAGATTTCAAACAATACAAACTTGTGATAAAACTAATGCATCACACTATCTATCACTATAATATAAAATGTTTGAAGAAAATTCTTAACTACTTGATAAAAAAACTAAATTAAATGTAAGGTAAAAGGTACATGTGAAAAGAACGGTTGAATAATTTTAAACAAGAAAAAAAAAATAATGCTAAAAATATAAAGCAAGACACCGCTTTATTTAAAGGTCTAATTCTATTTCTTACCCTTTAATAATCAATATGCGTTCGACTCTGTATTGTATTTCTATAATTGTGCAGTACAGTACTGATAATTAATGACCCAAGCTAATAAAAATATTATATAATTTCTTGAGAATTAGTTGGCCCTGGATATGTGACTTATTGATTTGTATTATAACCGTTAAACTGCAGTTTGGTCGACTGTAACAGTTCAAGTTTAAATAGTCCTGCCGAACTTAAATCATTAAAACAAACAATTTTTAAATTTCACGCTGAATTCTCTTTTTCATTTGTCCTTATTAGAACCGAGAGTATGAATGTTGACACACGTTGTACAAGATCGCATAGTGTTTTCCTTCTTCGGTTACATCCAATGATTGAAGCAAATTTTAAATACGCAACTTTTGTTTTGTGTACTGAATGAAATCTTTCCCGTCAAAGTATAAAATACCTTGGATGTACATCCTTTTCATGTGAACCTCGTTTTCGTCAATCTTATTTAAGTATATTAAACATTAAACATGAACCATAACGTAAACATTAAAAATAAATTAACCGAAGACAACAGTACGGGTTATGCCACGAGTGTGGTAAAACCATATCTAGAATTTGTTGAAATTTTAAAAAAAGTTTCAGGAGCTGTATTCGAGGCCCATAGGAAATCTCAGTATAACAAGAAAACATGCGGGATCTTACTAACTCGTGTCGAATTTGCAGAATGCGCAGTAAAATCTTTAGTTCGTCATATAGAGGATCATGTGGAGGATTTTAATTCACAAGAATATTATAACACATTTGCTAAATTTACCAACGTTATGAAAAGGGTTCAAGATTTTGTAGAAGAAATTTCACAACTTTCACAACTCAAAAGATTTAACAACCGTCAATCAATCAAGGATATGTTGCGTACAATACTGGAAGATTTTGACACATATTCCTCTAAATTAAAGTTGCAAATATTTGTCAATACCGAAAAGGACATGGAAATTCTTAATGACGATCTCGAACAAATAAAGGTGAGTCTGAATAACTACAATATTTTATGCCACATTCTTTCAAAAATACTGATAATAACCTCATTGTGAAGTTTTTAGTAAAATCTGATCTTGGAACCGAAATAAACGAGAACCAAGATTACAACGAAAAATACGTGACATCTCTTAGCACCGTGCAAGAACAATATAAAATAATAAATTATGAAATTGATAAAAGTAAAGTGGATCTGACGTTTCAAGTCAATAAAATTCCTTTCAAAGAACTTAAAATCCCAAATGGATTTGAAGCTAAACGCGGAAGTGTAATGAAGAGACGTTACAAAGGAATGGATGTAGCGTGTAAAGAGGTGAATATAGAAAAGGACGATGAGATTCAAGCAAAAAAGTTTAAAGCGCGAGTAGCGATCCTCGAAAAACTACATAAATGTAACAGTATCATCCAATTTTACGGAATGTCAAATTTTGACGATAAAGATTACATGATTTATGGATGGGCCGAACGGCACAGTTTAAGAGAAGTTTATGAAAAAAAGAAATTCACTTTATGTGAAAAATCTAGCATTGCATTGGATATTTGTCGAGGATTAGTTTTCCTGAATGCCACCGGGATATATCATCACGATATACGATGTGAGAATATTCTTGTAGGTTTTTTTTTCTTTTCTATAATATTTGATATTATGTTGCCACAATAATATATACTTCAAATTAGATGACTGCTAGATGGGAACCAAAGATTGCAAACTTTACATTTGCAAAGGAAATGGAGAAGGAGACATCGGAAAAAAATCATCAGTGTTCTGTTAATTGGATGGCTCCCGAAAAGATGACAGAATATCTACCTGAACATAAAAAGTATCCTTATACTACAGCTTGTGAAATATTCAGGTAAGTTTATAGAAATATTATTAGAGCTTCGACATATAATAATACATTTTTATCTTAATAGCTTTGGGATGTTACTTTGGGAGCTTAGATATGAAAGAATACCGTATAAAGGAAAAGATACGCAGGATTTGATAGTTCATGTGAGATCTGGTAAACGAGAGGAACTGATTTATAATTTATCACCATGCGGAGATGACAAAAAATACGCTCAAATAATTATAAGAGGCAAATATTTGGTTCATCACTTTATTTGCCTCTTTCCTAAGTGTTATTAACATTTAATGTTGTATTTTTAGCATGGGAACACGAACCTGACTTACGGATAGAAATAGGTTCTTTGTTAAATGAAATACAGAAGTAGTAAATGTGAAGATATTGCACCCGCAGGAACGACGCATAATTTAGAAAGTACATCTACCATCAAAGTAATACCACCTATTGAAGATGGCACTAAAGCGCTCAATAAAAAAAATTACAAGCTTGCTTTTGACATTTTTAAAGCGAACGCTGAAGCTGGTAATACTGAAGCAAAATATTGGATTGGTGAATTTTATTGGAAAGGAAAATTTGTTGAAAAAGATCGATACGAAGCATTAAAGTATTACGAAATGGCAGCCAAGGAAGGTTATACAAAAGCAAAATACCAATATGCAATTTCATTTCTCAATTTATACTTTGATGATGAACCACTTTTACAAAAAAAGAGCCGTTACATTATTGGTAATTTAAGAACGGCAGCGTTAGATAATAATGCAGAGGCTGGATACTTATTAGGAGAAATACACCGTGAAGGAAAACTGCATACTAAGGTGGATAAAACACTTGCAAAAGAATATTATGAAATGGCGGCAATGAAAGGTCATAAGAAAGCGAGCGAAGTTTTAAAAAAATTGGAGACCGAAATGAACCATGAAATGGAGTAACTTAAATTTTTGTATATACCGCTGTGAATTTCTTACTATGTAAATAAAGCCTACTATCAATTGTATATTACAGCTTCCGTATTTATCAATTTGAATATGATGTCGTCCTATATAAATTTTCAAAAAGAGTAATAAAATCTTTTCTTTTGTTATATACTGATATACTATAGTTATTGTGAGTGTTACGTAATTACTGTGCCGCTATGAGAATATTAGTATACAGTAAGTAAAAGAGTTAAATGATACATTTTAATGGTATCATATAGACAGCTTATCTATAAAAGGGTCGATATTAACAAATACTGTAAATAGTTTTAAGTATAACTTCACTCATTAACTGTTTCGGTTATTTGCTTATAACTCCAGTAAATATGACTAGAAAAGTTCCATAAACTCAAGAAGGATTCAAGAATTATCAGTTCAAGGGTAAGTTAATAAGTGACAAGAACAAATCAATAATTATATAAAAATCTCTTTCGGTAATTGAAAAGCTATGTTTAAGTTAAAAAAATTTTTATTTTTACATTTTGTAACAAAAAAACTTTAATGCATGTTTAATTTTTATTATTATTATTTTAATACAAATATATAATTAATAAAGTTATCAATACAGTATAGCATTGTATTAAAACAATTAATCATCAAATTTTTAATTTTTAATTAACAATATCTACATATATACTGTATATTATAAATAACACAATATTAAGAATTATTACAATTATATACTATAATTAATATATAAAAAGTATATAAAAATATTTTATAATTTCATATAATAGAATTAATAGAATTAATAAATACAATGATTATAAAAATTGAAAAGAAAAAAAAACATAACAAAAGAATATTGTTTTTTTTATTGCAATTAAAAAAATTTTTATCTGATTAAATATATTAATTACAAAATTTTTTTTTTTTTCAACGACTGGCATACACCTAGTTTTATTAAATTTAATTTCGAGAAACTATAAATTCGTTTTATACAAATTTTCTAACTCTAGCTATTTAATGAAACTATCTAGGGATTAACCCACCGGTCGGCTTATTGCCCTCCAATCCTCCTATATTACCAACACTGGAGCCCTGATAGCATAGGTGGAG